TCTTAAACTATGCTTCTTCATGTCATCCTGTAGCCTCTGAATTGTTACTTCCTGGTTCCTTGTTATTTTTAAGAGATCTTTCCTTTCAGGATTGCAAGCTGCAAACCTGTCTTCGAGGTTTGAAAGCCTATCTTTAGTTTCTTTTCAAACATTTTTGCCAGATTTCAATGGAGTTTTTCATTTCCTGGATATCTTTTTGAATCTGTTTCATGTATTCTAAGTCTTTTTTTATTATTCATTCAAGGTTTCTCTCATTTTCCTATGCTCCTGTATTCTTCCATCTATGTGTTCTTTAGAGGTGTGTAACAATTCTTTTATTATGTTTCTCATTTTTTTTACCTGAGATAGTATTTCTGTCGTAAATTCTTTTGTAGCCTGTTGAAGTTGTTTCTTTACATTAATTGCCATTACTTCATAAACTTCAGATGTACCACTCCTGATCTCTTCAGTGTTTACATCTCCTGGACCAGAACTGCTTGGGTTGGAGGCCAGAGACTGCCTTTTACTTCTTCCTCTTGTCATGTTCCTGGTTTCTTCTGGACACATGGGTAGTAGGGTCCCCCACACTTCCTATGTTGGCTACAATTTCTTTGAAGCAAGACTCTTTAATTTTTCTAGCCAGTGCTGACTAGGGATATCTGATGGTGACCATTGGGTGTGCTGGTGTAGGGCTGTCTGCTGCTTTTCCAAGCCTGCTTTCACTCACTGGTGGCTGGTGGAGTGCAAGCAGGAGTGGGGGCAGGCCGATTAGCTCCCAGCTACTTAACAGCAGGGAGCCCTACCACATAAAGTGTGTGCAAGGGCAGAGCTGGTTGGGGATAGATTTAGGGAAACCTCTACAATGGCTGTTACAATGTTACAATGGCTGTTGGCACGTGCACAGGGGCAGGACTTAGTACAAGCAGTTTTTGCCAGTCTGCTCCCAGCTAAGAGCTGCTGGAGGAAGTTGGCTGCAGTTTTGGTTCTGGGCTTATCCTGCCCTACTCCAAAATGCCTCCCAGCCAGTCGCCCTCTCCAGGGGGAGGACTGAGTTTTCTGCACTCACCACCAGCCAGTGCAGTTCTCCATGTGTGTTGCTCCCCTCTACCACTGTGTCTTTGCAGAGGCCTTCAGGCTTACCAGCCACCACAGTCACTGTGACTGTGCATCCCCAGGTTTCAACAGCTCTTGTCGCACAGTGGGTCTGACTCAGAGTGAAGGAGCTGCTAGCTACCCTCTGATTTCTTTCTCTGTGAGTTTATTACTGGCGTATAAGAACACTATTGATTTTTGCTTTTGTATTCTACTACCTGCCAAAATTTTTTAGTAGTTCTAGGAATCTTTCATTGGAGCTTTTTTTTGGATCTGCTTTGTAAAGGATCATGTCATCTGCAAATAAGGATCATTTTGCCTCTTTCTTCCCCATGTCTTTAATTTCTTTTGCCTGCTTGTTCTGGATAATGTTTCAAGTACTATATTAAACAGGAGTAGTGAAAGTGGACATCCCCAAAATTCAAATTGTTCAAAAAAGTCCTTGGTTTTTTTATTTGTTTCCTTTAAATAATTTACTTTTCTGCTTTATGTCATCTATTGCAAGTGTTGGCAGACTTTTTCTTAAACAGCTACATAGTAAATATTTTAAGGTTGAAGGCCCTACTGTTTCTACCCCAAGTCCTGAGGTCACCTGGACTCAAGCAAAGGCAACTGTAGTCAACATATAAATCAACTTTATTTCTGTAAATAAAACTTTATTTACAGAAAGAAGTAAACCATAGAGTGTTGAACCTTCGTATAAAAGATTTCAGTGGATGGACACTCAAATGAAATATTAAAGAATTGATCATTCTGTAATTTTTTAAGATTAATTTTATTGGTATACTTTTGATATATATATATATGTATATATATATATATATATATATATATATATATATATAATGAACACATTCATCATAGACAATTTGTATTTGTACATAATACATCTTGATACTTCCTTTCTCTCTATTTTCCTCCCCTCACTTCAACTCTTCTTCTTTTCCTTATTTACAAAAGTTTTGTTTCCATTTTTCCTTTCTTTTTTGCCACTTCCATTTCCCTCCCCCACTTCCTTGTTGCCCTTCTCATTTGAACATTTTCCTTCAACTTCCCAATATCTGTCATTGATTTTGGTCCTTATTTACCCTCTTAGTGTGATCACACCAGAGAAATAATGTGGTATTTAAACATGCATGTTTGAATTATTTCACTTAGATGTCCTCAAGGTGCATCTGTATACCTAAAATGTCTCGAGTTTATCCTTTATGGCCAAGTAGTACTGCATTGTGTGCAAAAACCATATTTTCTTTGTCTATTCACTTATTGATGAGCATCTGAGCTATCTCCAAGTTTTAACTATTACAAATTATGCTACTATAAACATGGGTGTGCATGTATTGCTGTGGTAAGATGCTTTCAACTCTTTTGGGATGATACCAAGATAGATACCCAGAATGGGAATAGCTGGGTCAAATAGAATTGTTGTACAGATTTAATGCAGTGCCAGTCAGAATATCAGTAACATACCTTGCAGAACTACAAAAAAGTCCTAAAATTGCTTTAGAACCAGAAGAGACCTAAAATTGCAAAAGCAATTTTGGGCAACAAAGGCAAGGCAGGGAGCATCACAATCCCCAATTTTGAATTATACTATAAAGCTACCATTGATAAGAACAAAATGACACTGGCCATCAAGACAAAACAAAACAAAATAAAGCACATAGACTGTGATCAGCAGAACAGAACAGAAGATCCAGAAACAACTCCAAATATACTCAGCCACATTATCTTTGACAAAGGTACTCAGTACATTCAATGGAAGAAAGATAGCCTCTTAATAAGTGGTGCTGGGGAAACTGGCTTTCCACATGCAAAAGATTAAACCTACCATATCTCTTATCATGTACTAAATTAAAATCAAAATGGATCAAAGATCTAAATATTAAAACAAATATTTAGTCTGCTGGAAGATAAAATAGGTAAAACTCTTGAAGGCATAGGTGTAGGTTTCTGAACAAAACTGTGTGGTGGATTAACTAATGATCAACTTGTGACACACAGCTAAAATGCATCAGCGTGTTGTGTGCGTGAATGGCCCACCTGAGGACTGTTGCCAACATCGTAAAACATGAACTAGAGAGAAAGATGACATGCTGTTGATTCTCCAGGAGAGTCACGCTGGTTTTCCTGATACGAACTAGCTGTTCTCATTGTCAAAGGAGCTCATGTTCTCACTGTTGCTCAGGATGGCTGAAATTCTTTTTGGGGGGACCTCTAGTGCTTACTTTGAGCATCACTTCCTGGCTCTAGTGCAGATCCCTCAACCTGCTGACACAGATCCTTCATCCCACTGGTGCAGACTTTCTGGCTTCCACCACTGAACTTTGGGCCTTCCCAGTGTAGAGCACTGATCCAGGCTTGCATGAGACATTGTTGTGGGCTCTAGGTCTCTAGTCAGACTTGTGGAGGACATTGCCATGGGCTCCAGGTCTTCAGCTGGATCAATGCAGGACATTGCCATGATATCCACACCCTCAGCTGGATTCTTTGGGTCTTTAGTGTACAGACAGATCTCCCACACTCTTGCATTTGACTTTTTAGGTGAATATTATAAAATCTATAAACTACACATCCTGTATTAAATCTTTTCCCTTGTAACCCCTGACTATAGCACCCTGATTGCACAAGCAATATATATTATAAAGAATCAACAACTAGGATCTCATCATATTGAAAAGCTTTTGCACATGAAGAAACCACTAACACAGTGAAGACATAACCCACAGAGTGGGAAATTTTTTTTACCAGCTATTCTTCAGACAAAGAACTAGTATCTAGACTATATAAAGAACTCAAAACATCAGATTTCCCCAAATTTAAAGACCTAATGCAAAAATTGGCATCTGAAATGAATAGATACCTCTCAAAGAAGTGCAAATAAATATGTGAAAAACTGTTCAACATCACTGGTCATTCAGTAATTCCAAATTAAAACAACACTGAGATTACATGTCACTCCAGAAAGAATGGTTATCATCAAGGAATCAACCAATAACAAATGCTGGTGAGGCTGCGATGAAAATGGCATCTTTCCCACTTTTAGTGGGAGTATAAATTGGTAATAACCACAGTGGAAATCAGTATAGAGATTCCTCAAAAAATCATTCTGTGATTTAAATAACAAATTTACCAAGTAGGTATATTATTTGCTAAACTGAAGCTTAAGCTTTTAATTAAATAATGGTGTATCTGAATTGGAGTTATGCATTTACTCAGCATGCATGAGTCCCTGAGTTTGATCCTCAGCCCACAAAAAAATAAATAAATAAAAGTTTATTGTGTCTCTGCTCATTGAAATATAGGCATCATTGACAATGATAGTTTTGAAGACAGACAAAAATGCTTTAAGTGAAAAATTCTAGAAAGTATTTTAAGTTTCTTTTTTTTTGTCTTTTTGAGACAGGGTCTTGCTACATAGTTCAGGCTGGCCTTGAGGACACTTTGCAGCCCAGGCTGGTCTCGAACTCACAACGATCCTCCTGCCTCAGCCTCCCGAGTGCTGGGATTACAGGCTTCAGCCACCTCGCCCAACGGGTTAAGTTTCTATCTTAAAGTGGACAGTTCCATGCCTCACTTCATGTGACAAATTAAAATCATAATAGACAAACTAAAAAATATTGAATAAAAATAGTTTCAAACTATGTGTATGGTTTATGTAAAACAAAAATGAATTTGTTTTTAGACTTTGGTCTTCTTCCCAAGATATCTCATTATGTTTATGCAAATATTCTGGAATCTGAAGAAAGCAAAACTTACCACTTCTGGTCTCAATAATTTTGGCTAAGGAATGTAGTATAAAAAAGAAAAGCTTTATAAAACCTTCTTGAAACTTTTACTTTACATAACATTGATATTTGAGGTAACTGCATTACTGCTTTGTTCAAGATACATTGTCATTTCTTCTCTTATTTTTTTTATTTTTTCAGTGCCCTTGTGTGTGCCACTTGTTGTATTTACTCACCAAAAAAAGACAATGGTAAGTATTTTCATTCCAGTTGTGTTACATTCACTGTTGAATTAGTATTTGTTTTGTAATTTATAAAGTTAAAATAACTATCAGTATTACTCATATAATAGTACTCATTTTATGTGCATTGCTTTCTCATACTTTTATTTAAGAGCATCTGCTTAATTGTTCAGCAGAATAGGGTGTTTATTTTCTTACGTATTACAAGAAAATATATGAAGTAAAGATGGTTAAATATAATTCATTTCTTCCTTTTCTAAACCAAATGCATAGAACCTTTTTTCTTTGCTTTTCCTAGTCAAACCTTTTCATGCAAGAAAATTGCTTAAACTTCAGGCCAAAATGGTGAGTACTGAAAAGACGTAAGATTAGTCAAGCCAGTTAGTTTTACTATCTGCCAGGTATTGATTGAGGCTTTGGAAATACAAAATCAAATAAGTTATTTATCTTTAAGAAAGTTATTTTCTGGAGATATCAGTCAAAATCACAGTCAGGTTCAGGGTTATGGTTTAGTGATAAAGGATTTACTTGGGTTGCACGAGTCCCTGTTTTCATCCCAAAGACCACAAAAAAACAAATATACTACCCACTCACCTCCCTCACAGGAAAAACAGTCACATTGGACAATAAGCAATTGAGATGAATAGGATTTAAGTAGGGCAAGAATAGAAAGATATTTCTGATGGAACAGTGTGAGCAAAGACACATAGATGTCACGCAACAAACCCTTTTTAAAGAACTGGGTTATTATGGCTAGAACAGTATTAAGGAGTGAGAGGAAATTATTTTGGGAGTTTATAGTTTTGGTGCATGCATCTAGGAAAATATTTCCAGACATTTTCTTATAGATACTTAGAGTTTAGTATACTCTCTGAACATTATCACTTGTCCTTACAGCTCTTTTTTTATTTAAAGACTAAACAAAACAGAAAATAGGTAGAAATAATACATAGGTTCAGAGAAAAAAATAAACAATAAGAAATCACTGGTTGACATTTGCATATTGTCGTTTTACAAATAGTTGTTCAGGATACAAAAATGGAACACGTAAAGTAGGAATTCAAACAGCAAGGCTGCAAACAGTTCTATTCAACTGTCCAACAAAACTTAGTTGGTTGTCAATCCTATACACTTAAACATGCATGCAGTTATCCATATATTCATTTATGTTTAGATTAAACAAACTAAAGCAGGTTAAAATCATTCTGAACAAAGAATAATAGTATTGCTGGATTTCACATCATGACACTCCGTGATCAGCACTGGGTAATGTAGTGTCTTTTTTTTATTTAATTTAAAGAATGACTAAAAACAGAAAACGGGTAGAAATAATACATAATTTCAAAGAAAAAAAGAAAACAGTAAGAGATCACTGGTTGATGATTACAGATTGTCTTCTTACAAATAGTTATTCAAAATACTAAAGTGGAGCTTATAAAGTGGGGATTCATTCAAGCAGTGAGATTGCACCCAGTTCTGTTCAGCTGTCCAACAAAAATACGGTTATCAGTCCTATACACTTAAACATACATGCAGTTATCCATATCTTCAATTATGTTGAGATTGAATAAACCCAAGCAGGCTAATATCACTCTGAACATAGAATAATACTGTTGTTGTGTTTCACATTATGACACTCCAGAATCAGCAATTTCTTCAATATGATCAGTTCTTATAAACTGTTTATAGATTCTACATATGCATGAGTCTTAACATGTATTTCTGTCCTTTCTATATTAGAAGGAGAAACAAAACAAAGCAAGGCAAAATAAAACATATTCCTATAAACACATGAAACGAAATAAACATATGAGACCATTGTACAAAGAGTTCTACCATGGTTTCCATGTTGTCTCTTGTTATTGTCAATAGAATTGGCTATATCATCAGACATAGTATAATTGAATATATCAGTACATAACATTAATAAAAACACAACTTTGTATATAGTATAGAACTTCAAAAACCGACAGTTATCAAACCAGAATGTGTATCGAAAAGTCTTGTCATCTTCAGTGTAGTTGCCTATACTCTCAGACTTGATACTATCAGTCATATCAGTTTTGAATAAATCTTCTCTGCCTCGTTTCTGTTATGCTCCTTTTTTGCCCTCAGTTGTCTGCTTATCTTCTTCATTCTGTTTTCTGCTCCATTCATTGAGGCCTCTCTGCCATTGTTCTTGGAATCCTAGTACTTTTCTCTCTCTCTACAATGCCCTATTGTATTCTCTGTAGAGTTGGATTTGTGGTTGCGAATTTCCCAAGTTCCTCTTTGTCTTGGAAACATCTTGTTTCTCCATTAATTTCTAGAGACAATTTAGCAGGGTATAACAATCTGGACTGGAGATTATTTTCTTTCAGGGCTTGGAATATTTCACTCCGAGCTCTTCTTGACTTGATGGTTTGTGTCGAGACTGCCATTATTCTGATGGGCCTTCCTCTGTAGGTGATCTGTTTCTTGTCTCTAACAGCCTGTAATATTCTGTTCTTGTACTGAATTTCTGGGATCTTGATTATTATATGCCTGGGTGTAGCTCTGTTTTGGTTGTAGGTGGCTGGAGTTCTGTATGCCTCATATATCAGAATATCATTTCCTTTTCCTATGTTTGGGAAGTTTTCCTTAACTATTTTTGTGAATAAACTTTGTAGTTCCTTTGCTTGTACCCCTGCTTCTTCATTTACATCCTTTATTCTCAAGTTATAGATCCTTTTGTTGTCTTCTAGCCTTTGTATTGTTACTGCTTGTTTCCTTATTATTTTTAAAAAGTTTTCCCTTTCATAATCCCACATTGCAAAATTGTCCTCCAGTTTGGATAATCTATCCTTAGTTTCTTTCAAGCTGATTTGCCATCTTTCCATAGTTTTTAATTTCCTGGTTATCTCTTTGAATCTGCTACATGTATTCTATATTATTTTATATTCTTCACCAAATGGTTTTCTCCTGTGTTTGAGTTCCTCCCTTCTTCCGTTTATGTCTCCTTGAGGAGTGCTTAGTATCTCTTTTATTAATCTTCTTATATGTTGCTTTATTTGGCTATGTATTTCACTTTTGAACTCGTCTATGAGGTCCAGGATATATCCCTTTTTCTCCACTGGTGCTGTGTCTGATATTGCATGTTTGCTGTTCTCGTTCTCCTTTGTATTTACCTGTCCTGGGTCAGTGTTCTCAGGGTTGGGACCTGGGGACTTTTTGTTGTTGCTTCCTCTTCCCATCTTGTTTGCTTCTTCCAGGAGGCCCCAGTTTCTTTCTTTGTTGGTTACAGTTTTTTTGAAGCACACTGGCTAGATGACCCTTGCACACTGCAGTGTGCTAGTGAGTTGCAGGCAGTGACACTGTATGCTGACCCCTCCCCTCCAGATCAGTCAAGCTGCTGTGGCCTGCACTACTGTATTGCTTTGTGCCGCCTCCCCTCTGGAGCATCGAAACCTCCGAGGCCCCACTGGGCCAGTGTGGTTCGTGTGTGCCACCGCTGCAGGGACTTGACCTCGAATAACCTATTGGGTCTCAACCGGGTCACATGACTCAGGCCTGGCTCACTCCACCAATCCCGTTTGGGAAAGGAACAATTGACTGAAGTCACTGCTGCCTGTTTTACTTGTCAATCCTACCCAGTCCCAGAATGTTATCCACCGGAGCCCCCTGTCTATGGAATGGCTCCACTCCTGTCACTCACCACAGGCCAATGTAGGCTCCCCACCAACTCAGCTCTCCGTTTGGCTCACCGACCCCTGAACTCAATGTAACTGCGCCTCCAGTAGTCAAAGCGGCAGGACTCTGGATGGCTTGGCAAGTTGTGGTGGGACCCTGGCAAGTCATGGCGGGACCTTGACAAGTCGCACTGGGACCCTGGCAAGTCACAGTGTCAGCCAGTTGTGGTGGGACCTCGGGTGGTCAGTAAGTTGGGACCAGAGAATTTATCTCCCTCTGTTTGGGACTCCCCACTCTGTATTATATTGAATCCTAAGTTGCCTATCTCAGGGAGCTTCTGTAGCCAGTTGTTATCTATCTGCCATCTTTGCTCCTCCTCCCCCTTCCAGCTCGTTTACATTGTTATTTCCACTATTCCTCCCGGATAACAGAAATCTATGCAGTTTTAGATATAAAACAATTTGAAGTAGTATCCATGCCTAACTAAAACCATCTGGCCTATCTAAAGGCATTCACTTCATTTTGAGAGAAAGACACACACACAACATATTTATGCTCCTGTATTGTGAGGTTTCCTTTCAGTATATATAGTTCAGTTAATGCTGTTGTTATATAGCTTCCTGTCTTGGTTCCCTGGGTATGTTATCTTCTCTTTGTTCTCTGTGGTAATATTGTATAAATTGAATTTGATTTCACATTAGTACAAATTGTGAAAAGATGTATGTTTTCTCATATAGCAAAATATATCAGTAGAAATAATATTTTATTATAAAATTGTGATAGCTTGTATTCACTGAAAAATTGTTTATATTCAATTTAAAAATTATGTAGGAGGTTTTTGCCTAATAATATTAAACTCAAACATTAAATCCATGGTTTCATTGCTAACATTCTATTTAGTACATTACTGAATTTTTTACTCTTAATTAACACCTATTTATAGAGGTGCATTTGATATTACTTTGATTAGCTTAGTTTGGGGCAGTTTTCAACAATATGAAACCAAAATTATGCATGTTGTTATGTAACCTAACCTATATAACAGTAAGAGGCTGTGCAAGCAATGTTCTGGATATGAAATTTTTGGTACTCGCCAAAGATTTTATCATATCTCCATATGTGACTCTCAGTGATCTATGAAGGAAACAAAAACATAGAAACTGTCTTTCTGATCATAGGTATGAGTTTTGGTAAGAAGTGAACCAGGCATGTTATTGCATCTCATATGCTGGGCTCTTGAAAATAATCTTTATAACAAGACAGTGGCATAGGGTATCATACTAAGGGTTGGCAAGGATGATTTTTGTGATTCTCCCTCTACTAGGCATGAGCTTGTCTGTGGGCACTAAAATAATAATTCAAAGCTTGCATGCATGAGCAAGACCTTTTCATTGTAGAGTCTTGATGTGTTGTTGGGGAATCTCCTAGATGACTGTCAGTTTTTTCAGAGAATTCTCCTATCCCTGTCTATAAGGTTTCAAGACTCTCCAGAGAAAGTGAACCAATAGCATATGTGTGTATATGTATACAGGTGAACTATAAGACATTGCTTCATGCAGTTACAGAGGCCCTTAGTCTGGAAAGATGATGTTTCAGTTTGAGTCCAAAGTCAGTCTGCTGTTGAACCATGGAGAGCTATTGTTCCATGTAAAGCCTGTAGACTGCTGGAGGAGACTCTTCTTTAGGCAGGCTATTCT